GGCAAATATCTAATATATTATATTACTATAGATATCTTTCCATTTATTGTTATTTTCATTTATTACTATTTCCATATCCTTGTAATTTATTTGATTATAAATAAGATAACTTTCACACCATTTAGGTGTGGTGGATTAATCAAACATTCACAGCGTCCTTTTGACTTGTATAGGTCAAAAACTCCCAAATTTGGGGAGATCCGAAAACTCAAGGGTCAGTCTTCCTCATCCGACGGTGTATAACGTGTAAGAGGCGTCGAGATCTATCCCTAGTGTGTGTAAAGTCTCTGAGATGGTTTTTGTGGCGTAAATCTAGGGTTTCGACATTGATTTCGTATGGTTTAGCTTCGTCAGTTTTTTCCGTCTTTCTCGTTTTCTCACTGTCTTTCTTTCTTGCAGGTCGTTTGGAGGTGCTGAGGATCGAGTTTTGGCATTGTGGTGATCCAGAAGTCGAGCGGAGTTCGTGGGTCGTGTGAGAACGAAAACTCCGACGTTCGTCAAAGTTTTCGGGTCTTCGCCAGTGACCACGGACGCCTCTTAACTTCTTTTTCTTTTTTTGTTGATTCGTTACAATCAATCACCCCCTTGAATTTTGACAACGGTTGCAATTACATTCATAAATTTTTATTTTGATCAATCAAGTAGTTGTACTTTCTTAGTTGTTGCATTCTATCCAATTACATTTTAATTGAAATTAACATGTATCACTAATTATAAGATTCGATATTGGTTAGATAAAGAAACTAAATATTTTTTTACAACAATGCAGACGTTTTAAAAATTTTGAGAGAAAATCATAAAAAAAAAGCTGAGAAAAAATCATATCACCCGTAAACTTCGAGTTGTTACACTACCTGCCCCAACTTAATTTTTGAACCTTTAAATCTTGGATGGCTGACTCAAAAGGTGAAAGTGGAACCAAATAAAAATAGAAAAATAAAATAAAACATAAAAGTTATCTAACTTTTAAATAAAATAATTCAAACCAACAACCCAAAATTAATTACAAAATAAAATTTAATCATAAGTGGGTGTGATTCAAATTTATTAAAAAAAAAAAAAAAAAGTAGTATCCACAGGCTTTACTCTGAGACCTAGTCTCTACTACTATTTGAGCATCTTAGGTACTTTGAAATTTCGAGCGGTACTTTAGCTACTCACATGTCCACTCTCGATACTAAGGGAGTGGTTCACAAATTTCTGGCGTCGTAAAAAGCAATATCTACGGACTTGGAAGTTCGGGCCTAGTCTCTACTACAATCTGAGCATATGGTGTTCCTCAAGGTTTGGAGTCGTATATTAGCTACTCACAACTCTCCGGACTGAAGGAGTTGTTCATCTATTTTTGGCGTCAGCAAGTGTTTTGGCAACAAATCTCATCTCTAGGTGAGCTACTTTTTAGTTTTTATATTTAGGTGGCTTGTATTGCCTAAATAGAGTATACCTGTGTCTTGTGTGGAAGACGCGCCTCCCCAATGCCCACGGATCTCTACGCTCCATCCCAACCTTCAGCCCATGCCCCAGAGTACCCTGCATAGTGAAAAAATGAGAGAGAGAGAAGGGAAAAGAAAAAATGAAAACCTTCGTCGGCAAGTTATCCAGAGGAATCCCAACGCCGAAACAACCCTCCTACATTGCGGAAAGGACAGTCAATGTTCATACAACTACGAGAGTTAAGCCTCACATGCCCTAACACCGCTGCACTTCGTCGGATTTCAAATCAAAATTTGAGTTTTTATTGAGTCTCTCGGATTTGTGGTTATAGGCACCAAAACATCACGAAAACTTCGTGGGAAGGAAGGAGAGGGGCTGACAAAGAGGAAATGGAGGAAAAGGGACAGAAAACGACGTATAGAAGAGAGAGAAAAATCGTCAGAAATTGTCGCGTGAGTCAGGTGGAGAAGACAAAGTCCGTGGACTTCGGGTCGGGTCAAATCCAAACCGAAAATGTGCGCTTGTGTAGCTCATGACCGCCTAAACCCACATCTCGGCCCAACCAAGATGCTTGCAGCTACCTTATTTCGTTTCAACTCCGTTTTGAGCTCTATAGGTCTTCCGGTAACTAGCCGAGAGGTTGACTACCGACGACGAATAGGACGGTGCCGTGCCCTTCGATCTCGACGACAGAGCCGTCGCTTGGCCCCAGTCATATGGATTGGGGCCCCCGTATCGAGGACCCATTGTCGGTGCTCTTGCTGCCACCTTTTTTTCACTGATTTGAGCGAACATTCGCTCCTCCTATTTTTCTTCCGCTGCTCGACGTTACGACGACAGAGCCGTCGCCGAGTTTCACCGTCCCGCAAATCCCTGGAGTCAAGCTCGGAGAACGCAGACTTCTTGGCCCCAGTCATATGGTTTGTTGCCCCCGCGTGTCGAGGACCCATTGCCAGTGCTCTTGCTGCTCATCCGATCGTTTCTACCACGGCGGTCGTTGTCTCTCTGATCACTCACTCACATCATCACGACGTCGGCCACGGCCTCTTTGTGGTGGTGATGGAGATGCTGGCACTTGGCGATGTGGAGGAGTGAGCGAGCCCTGCTTGTCGAGATGGACCCCAAACGATGTGTTTTATAATTTTGCGCTTTGCATTTTCTTCTACTCGAACCTGAGACCTGTGTGTTGTTAGGTCGACGCTCTAGCCACTTGAGTTATTCAACTTGATTGTTGATAGGATGGCTCTTCTGTGATGGTATACTACCGATCGTTTCAACGAGGCTCTGATACCACTTGTTGGATTTCAATAATGGGCCGGGAAAATTGTCGACAACAAGTTGTTGGAAGGAAAATAAAAAGCGTACAATAAGAAGAGAGAGAATGATGAAATTTTGACTGCCCTTTAATTCAGGTTGTACAATATTCTGAACAGATTTCTATTTAAATATAACTCAATTCTAAAAATGGTTGGAGAGTGGCCAACTGAATCTGTGCCACTTCCTGCTAAATTGCCGTTTAAACTTAGTTAATCCATTCGACGTGTTTGTCAAATGGTCAAACGGAGAAGGAATGTAATTGTGTGAATCTAAATAAGGAAAAATCAGGTTTTATCTAACATGCCCCACATCTTGATCCAACGAGCAGACGACCCAACCGCCCGTGACCCCAACCCGCAACTGGTGCCTCGACCCGAAAGGACCTGCACACACGGCGGCTTCCCATTGTTTCACGTGGTACACCTGCAGTGTGACACGTCCCTCGACTCAAACGGCTCGGTGGCTCTACAGCTCGGTTCTTGGCTTAACGGCTCGGGATTCCATTTTTAGTCCAACCCTCCCGAATCTATTTTCAATCCTAATTAAGGTAATTCAGATCGTTTTAATGTTGTATTTCACAAGTTTCAGTTGGAATTATTATTAAATTATGAAATACTAACGAAAGGTGACGAACGGTCCAATAGGAAATGACAACCAACGCTAACTTGGAATGCTTTCAAGGAGCGAAGGCTTTCGAGGAGTGGAAGCTTACGTAAATTAATTAGGGAGAACGCCGGCTAAGGCCAACCAAGTAATGTCGCTAGGTTATAAATTGAATGTTGTATGATGACACATGCAGGTGGTTTTGTATGTGGCATAGATCGTGTATGTAGATTGTTATGAAATAACACGTAAATGTTATTCGATGTGATTGTTATGCCGTATTTTGATGAATTGCTATGTTTTACGTTGTGATATGTTGTGATGTGATGTATTGTTGACGTATTCGGAATTTATTATGTGACTGTTACAATATATGCTATGATATATGCATGATATGAACTGTTATGTCGGAAAGCATGAAAACGTTCTGTTATGACTTGTAAATTGCATAAATGGTATGATATGATTGACATGAAAAACGAAAAATAGATGAAATACAATCCTCACATACACATGAAAGTTGTAATATATGATATGATAAATATCATGAGAAATAGTATGAAAAACGTTATGATATGAAAAGTACGCTAGTGGGGTTCTATTAAAGATAATTAAAATGGAAAGATTTAGGGACCTCATGCATTATTGTGTGCTCATGCATTGGAGGATACCCCTATTCTGTCACGATCATTATGTTTGACATAGTGTTGCCGTGACGGTCGCTACTCCTAACAGGTGTCGTCTGGTATCAGCAGCTCCTAGAGTATGCTCGTCTGACCAAAAAGGGGCCCAAGAGGTATGCGAACCGACTGGTGGATCCAGACTCACATGTGTGGGCTGTGTGTAGGACGTTAATTACACATCCAAGTTGCCCCTTAGAATGACCACGGGATGAAAACAAACTCTTATGATAGGTCCCATGTATGCATTTGTATGTCTTTGCATCATAACCTCCACAGGGGATCGCTTATTAAGTATTTTTAAAATACTCAAGCCACTGTTGAACACAACTCTCTGTGGGAAACACTCGCACACTTTATTAAGACCAATCGAGAAGGGATTAACAAAACACGTATAGAAACTACTGCTTTGTATTGCTTGGTATTTCTTGGGATGATAAACTAAGTAGAGTGGGGTATACTAGATGGCAGTCAATCTATTCCTAAAATTTCTCCAGGTTTTTCCCAAAATACCTAAATCATTTTCCTAACTTTATTCCTAAAATCCTTAAATCATTTTCCTACCTTTATTCCTAAAATTCTAAATCATAAATATAATTACTCATACAAGGGTTGGACTTAACCATATTGGGCCAGTGATGATATTTAACACTCCTCCTCAGCATTAGTCCTCATTCGCTGCACCATGTTGAGCTGACAGCGAAAACTCTCATGTTTGCCAGTATTCAGTCCTTTTGTAAACAAGTCTGCCACTTGATCATCTGTCTTGATCTGTTGCATTTCGATTTCTTCCTTCAGGACTTTCTCTCTAATGAAATGGTAATGTACCTCCACATGCTTTGTTCTAGCATGAAACACCGGATTTTCTGCTAGGCGAATCGCAGATTGGTTGTCGCAATGAAGTGATATTGGATAGTCAATTCTCTAGTGTAAATCTTCCATCAAGAGTTTCAACCACGTACTTTCCTAAGCTGCTCCAGCTGTTGCTCTATACTCTGCTTCTGTAGTTGACAACGATACTGTTGGTTGTCTTTTTCTACACCAAGAAATTGTTCCCGAACCCAACTTGAACACATACCCAGTGGTTGATCTTCGAGTATCGTGGTCTCCTGCATAATCATCATCACAGTATCCAACTAGCTTGCAGTCTTTGCTTCTTTTGTACAGAAGACCATAGTTGATTGTACCTTTGACATATCTCAAGATCCGTCGAGCCGCATCCAGATGAGGCTTCTTTAGATTTTGCATGTACCGACTCATGACTCCAACTGCATAAGAAATATTAGGCCGAGTTAAAGTTAGGTAGATAAGACTACCTACCGATTGTCGGTATGTCGTTTTATCGTTCAACTTTTTGCCTTCATGTGCACAAATCTTGGCATTTGTCTCTATCAGTGTTGAAGCTTGTTTGCATTCTAACATGTTGAACTTCTGAAGCATATCTCTTGTATACTTTTGTTGGCAGAGAAACAATCCTTCATCTGTACAATCAACTTCTAGGCCCAAAAAGTGTTTAAGCTCTCCTAACTCTTTCATTTGAAAATGTACTGATAAATTTTTTCTTGTTTGATGAATTTCTCTTTCTTCATCTCCGGTATTAATCAAATCGTTCACACAGACCAACACAATTGCCAATTTTCCTTCTCTTTCTTTGATAAACAAGTTTGAGTCTGCATGTGCAATTGAATAACCACTTTGGGTAAGAAATTCAGCAATCTTACCATACCAAGCTCTTGGTGCTTGCTTCAACCCATAAAGAGCTTTTTTAATCTTGCATACGTGATTAGAATTAGTTGCACTCTCAAATCCCTTTGGTTGGTTCATGTAAATCTCCCTGTCTAACTCTCCGTGCAAGAAAGCATTCTTCACGTCCAACTGCCACAACTTCCAATCTTTACTTGCTGCGAGTGCTAGCAGAACTCGTACGGTAGTGATATTTGCCACTGGACTGAATGTTTCATCATGTCCATATTGTTGAGAAAATCCTTGAGCTACAAGTCGAGTCTTGTACCTCTCGATTGATCCATCCGGTCGACGCTTTATTTTGTAGACCCACTTGCAAGAGATGGGTTTGACATCTCCTAGTCTTGGCACTAGTTCCCAAGTTTGATTATGTTCCAGGGCTATAATTTCTTCCTCCATTGCTTTCTGCCAAGCTGAGTTTTGTGATGCTTCTTCATATGTCTCCGGCTCATTAACTCTGTCTTCTACAATAGCTGCATTGGCATACTTAAGATTTGGCTTTTGGATTCTTTTTTATCGCTTAAGTTGTTGATGTGACGTTTCCTTTTCAATAGATTCGCTTGATTGAATCATTTCTTCCTCATCAACATCAATGTCACTGGCTGAGTGTGTGTAATTTGCTCCCCCATCTTCTATTGTAAAATTTCTTCGATGTTATTTGGATCTGGTAAAACTTTCTTCTCCGGGGACAACCATGTAGATGCTTCATCGAAAACTACATCTCTTGATGTATAGCATTTTCCACTTGTTGGATCATAGCACTTCCACCCTTTCCTTTGATTGTCATATCCGACAAATATGCACTTGACTGCTTTCTTGTCAAACTTGCTACGTAGATGGTCAGACACAAATACATAGCAAACACAACCAAATACTTGGAAGTAGCTAAATGTAGGTTTCATGTCTCATAGTATCTCAAATGGTGAGACAAACCCTAGCCTTGCCTGGGGAAGCTTGTTGATCACATGGGCAACCGTTCGCATAGCTTCAGCCCAAAATCTTCCTGGAACATTCTTTGCATGTAAATGCTTCGATAGATTTCTGTAAGATGTCGATTCTTTCTTTCTGCTACACCATTTTATTGTGGTGTGTTGGCACATGTAAACTGACGTCGTATCCCACACTCGTGTAAATATTGATCGAACTCATTTGATGTGTATTCTCCACCATTGTCTGAATGTAGACAACATATCTTCTCTCTTATTTCTCCTTCGATCATCATCTTGAATTCTTGAAATTTTGAAAACGTGTCAAACTTTTGTTTCATAAAGAAAATCCACATATATCTTGAGTAATCGTCAATGAACGTCACCATATACCGCATTCTGCTGATCGATGCTTGTTTGGCTGGACCAAACAAATCAGAGTGAATTAACTCTAATGGTTTCTTTGCTTTGAAACTTGACTCTTTATATGGTAATTGATGAGCTTTACCATATTGGCATCCAGCACACACAACATCTGTTTTGACTTCAAGTTGAGGTAGACCTTGGAGCATGGATTTTTCCATAATCAGTTTCAACTTGTGGTAGCCAACTTGTCTCAATCTTGCATGCCATAGATCTGTTGTCTCATTCTTCCGTGTCTTGTCAACATTGATGATGTTAATATAACACATGCGGAAGCAATTTGGATCTTAGGCACTTTTAGAACATCAATTATTGTAAATTACTAGCATGTTCATAAGTATTAAAACTTAATGAGTTTAAATACTAACCTTTTGTAGTTCAAACTCCTTTTGCCTCACGAACCGGTTTCGAACCACCACTAGTGTCTTCTCCACTATCCTCCGGCCTTAGAACGGGATTGTGGAATCCGGTGAGTGACTAAACTTGGGAGGGATTTTGTATATGTGAAAGAGAGTGTTTGTGAGAAGTTTTTCTCAAGGTTTTTCATCAAGATGAAGAATATCCCCTCCAAGTATCATGATCACTCTATTTAAAGAGTCAAGTTTGCATGTTCATGCAAACTTGAGATCACCAAATTTTGACACTTAAAATTCCACTCAAGAGTTTGGGATTATGTGGCAAGCATGCATGTTTGAGTTAACCAAATTTTGACACTCAAAATTCCACTCAAACTTGTGGGGTTTATTTGGCAAACATGCAAGTTTGGTTAAACCAAATTTTGACACCTCAAAATTCCACTAACATGGATTTTTCCATTAGATGAAAGTCAACATTTTGACTTTCTTCATTTTAATTCAACAATTAATTTGAATAATGAATTTCAAATTAAAGTAACATTAAATGATTAATTAAACTATTTAATTAATATTTAATATTAATTCAAATGCCAATCTCAATCAATTCCGACACATAATTGATTAAGATATTTAAATCTTATTTAAATATCTCACATTCTCTCTTTTCGTTTAATTCGTAAATAAAACAAAATTGCGATTAAATATATCGTATATATGTAACGCATATTCCCTAATTTGAATTCGAACACTTCGAACTCACTCGTCACATTGTTCTATGGTTTAGTCCGATATGAGCTAGTAGAGGGACCTAATGGACCTATAGATCATGGGCTCCAACGATCCAAGATTAACCGATTAAACTCATTAACCTGGTTAACCAACATTCGTTAACTACTAGGACACTCCACTATAGCCTAGTAGTTGCACTCCCCTCACTATAGATATATTTCTGTCCATCTGATATAACCATGATTAGTAAGTCGATCCTTCACAGGTTGTTCGTAACTAGAGCTGGGTCAATTTACCGTTTTACCCCTGAAGTTACTTCTTGTTCCTTATGTCTCACTGATCCTCTAATGAACAATTGGTTTGTGGTCCAACTAGTAAACCAAATCCCTCTCAGGCCAATGAGAGGGTGGGGCCCCTTGTTCAAGACCTGGAGTCAGTGCTTAAGGGAACTACCTTTCTTCTATCCCTAAGTGGGTAGGAGTGAATTCCGTCTTGCACCCCACATCCCCAGCCATTCACCCAGTCTTACCCCTGAAATGGGAGGCCTGTTGAGTCGGCGAACTAGAGCCACTCTCACCCATGCAAATCTAAGGATAATTCCGAATAAACAGGAGTTCATGGTTAGCTCAGGATTAAAACCGAGTTACCTAGGTTATCGAATGAAAAGAAAATCAGTCTCAACAGTAAACGACTTTATAAAGTGAGAGTGGTTTTCTTCATGGTCCGATCTTATGCAATACTCATTGCATAGGACGCCCCCACTCACATGTCTCCACATGCACAATTTAGTGATCACATTGTTTATATCATATACAAAAGTGGGCCGCATCCATAGTGTCCCCAGAATAAGGTACTCAGCCTTATCCTTATACTATAGATCATTTTGACTATATACTTGAACTTGATCCACTCTTATGTCTCTACATATAGTTCAAGTAATCATACTATAGCCAGAGTGTTCTTAGTTTATTGGATTTAGATTAATGATCGTAAAGTTCACTTTATTCAATAACAATTTTTACTGAATAAACATCAATAATAACTTTATTGAAAATAGAATATATCTTTGTTTACAAACTATGAGTTTTAGGACATAAAACCCAACAAACTCCCACTTGGACTAAAACTCTAGTTGGGTTTTATAACGTTGAGTAGAGAGAAATACAATAAACTAGGGCATCACATACTGATGCCTTTTCTCCCACTTGCCCTAAATTACATAACTCGTAGTCCTAGACTCACTAGGTGCCCTTCAAACACTTTAGCCGTGAGGGGCTTTGTAAATGGATCAGCAATGTTGTGCTCTGAAGCTATCTGTGTGACGATCACATCTCCTCGTTGCACAATCTCCCTTATGAGATGATATTTGCGTTCAATATGTTTTCCTCGCTTATGGCTTCTTGGTTCTTTTGAATTTGCAACTGCTCCACTGTTATCACAATAAAGAGTGACGGGAAGATGCATATTTGGAACGACTTCTAAATCAGTTAAGAACTTCCTAAGCCATACAGATTCTTTCGCTGCTTCACAAGCAGCAACATACTCAGCCTCCATGGTGGAATCAGCAATGCAACCTTGCTTTATGCTTCTCCATATTATTGCTCCTCCTTTCAGAGTGAAGACAGATCCTGATGTCGATTTCCTCGAATCTACATCGGTCTGAAAATCTGAGTCAGTGTACCCTGTAAGGATCAGATCCTTAGCACCGTACATTAGCATATAGTCCCTCGTTCTCCTAAGATACTTGAGGATATTCTTAACGGCAGTCCAATGAGCACGTCCCGGATTGGACTGATATCTGCTGACAATTCCCACAGCATAGCATATGTCGGGTCGGGTACAAAGCATGGCATACATCAGACTACCGACCGCTGATGCATAGGGAATGTGTTTCATATCCTCAACTTCTTGAGGTGTCTTAGGACTTTGTTCCTTCGCCAAATGAACTCCATGCCTGAAAGGTAATAATCCTTTCTTGGAGTCCTGCATCTTATATCGAATCAACATTTTGTCAATGTACGATGCTTGAGACAATGCTAGTGTTTTGTTCTTGCGATTCCGAATAATTTAGATTCCAAGAACAAACTGAGCCTCTCCCAAATCTTTCATTTGGAATTGTGTCGCCAGCCAATGCTTAATGTCAGTCAGAATTCCCACATCATTTCCAATGAGTAGGATATCGTCAACGTACAACACCAGGAAAGCTACTGTAGAGTTGACTATCCTTTTATAAACACAAGGTTCGTCAACATTCTGTTTAAAGCCATAAGATTTGATCGCAGTATCAAACTTTATATTCCAGGATCGAGATGCTTGCTTCAACCCATAAATGGATCTTTTAAGCTTGCAAACCCTTTGC